AGTAAATGCAGTAGTGTAATTTCGCTTTGTTGCCAAATGGCAACATTGCGTAATAGAGGGTTAATACTATTCAAAATGAATATGTTCGCTCCATTTAAAAAAAAAAAAAAAACTAAAGAAACTCAGGGGAACAACTTTGCCTCAAATGTATGTAAGTGTTGAACAATGGAATAAAAGTTCTATGAATGGATAAAAACTACACTGGAAACAGAAGACTTTTTAACACTCTTCTAGATTCGTAATTCAAGTTTTTTTCTCCAAAAGACCCTGTCGGTGGGCACGACTTCTTTATCATAAAATAATGCAGACTTAGAAATAACATTGCCATTATGTTCATTAAAATTGTGGAGTTAGGCAGAGAGAATTTAAATCGATATTGATCAATAAACGCTCCCTTAAGTAACACAATCTCACTCAAATAATAATATATAATCGTGTTTCCAACATTTAAAAAATGTGAATGAATCTACTCCTAGGCCTAGGTACTAAGTGTTAACTTTTTTTTTTTTACAGCCCAGCACTTCTCTCGATTTCAAATAATTTCGGTGCCCCTCCCCCAAGCATTGTATCAGCATACTTTTTCATTTTTTCCCAGAGGCGTAGCGAAAGGAGGGCAGGGGGGGACAGACGTCCCCGGGCGCCAGCTCGTTGGGGCGCCAAAATGGGCTTTGATATTATTTTATTGGTGAAAATAATGGGTTTGAGAGTTTAAAAAAAGAAAAGAGGGCGCTATAAAATGCATCCTGTCCCCGGGTGCCAAACACTCTGGCTACGCCTCTGATTTTTCCCCCATTAGTTCATTTTCTGCCTCCTCACGTTTCTTCCCACGCGTTTTGTGTTTTTTCACCTTAAACGTATCTGGATCTTCCTGCACCTCGCATCCCTCCTAGGTGTACGTGAACCCCTCCCAAGTAAACGTGTACCCTTCTCTTTTTAAGAAACCCTGATGAAGCCAATTTTAAATATCACCCAGCCCTTTTGGAAGGTTTTAACATGTAGGCCTATCCCCCCCGCCCCCCCCCCAAAAAAAAAGTAATGCTTTTCATTGACTTCCATTGTTATGTTCTTGCATTTAAAAGCAAAACCATCCAAGGTGATTGTTAGCAAGAGCTAAATATATGTCTTAACTCTGTGTCCTTGCACAACACAAAATAATGACAAAAGAGTGGTTTAAAAATAATGCATTAAAGCATTAGCTACGGCCTAAGAGCAGAATGGGATGGCATTTAAGGAACATTTAAAAGACAGAAAGGATATGGAAATTTAAAATCACATAAGTTTACTTTCATTAACTTCGAAGAAGGACACTAATATTAACTCAAAATAATGCAGTCATTATTGTTTCAAGAAATAGAACAATAAATAGTCAACCGTTGTTTGTTATCTGGATGAATTAAGAGCACTGTAGTAAAATAAAAAGACATTAAATCAATAATTGTCACAAGTTGCCTTCTGCTTAGTGACACTTAGTCTAACTTCTAAAATAACTCCAACACCACCCTGTTTTGATGTGCCCAAGGAAACACACTAACCACACAATAAACAAAGAAGTCTTAAACGTAACTTAAAGTGGCTAAACTAATTTATTATCTAAAGATACTAAGTAAAATAATATGCGATATAAAGTGAATACACTATGACATATGATGAAACATGATTGAGAGTTATCCTAGGAGATATACCATGACAATTACTGATGGCTGTCATATAACTATAAATTACTCAGAGAACATATGCGGATTACAATTGAAACAAGACAGGCAATTTGACTTATAACCCGAGCAAGACGCTACTTCTCACTATAGTGGCGCCTTGCATAAATGTCGCCTCTCAACCACTTATGACCAGTGGTTCTTAACCTTTTTGGAGGTACCGAACCCCACCAGTTTCATATGCGTATTCACCGAACCCTTCTTAATTGGAAAAATTAAATAGGATTTTTTTTTCTGATTTTTTTTGGGACCTCCGCCGAAACCCTGAGGCTGACTCACCGAACCCCTGGGGTTCGATCGAACCCATGTTAAGAACCACTGACTTATGGGTATGTCCTATGGTCAATAATCGTCACTGCATCTTTCTTGCGTCTCGTCGTCGCTCTGTATTGAAATCTATACACACAGGTGCTTGTGATGATTTATGTTACTAGTGACTATAACAACATTCTATTCCTGAAATAGATGAAGAAATCTCCTACACCATGTGATCTACACTAAGTCCTAGCTAGCTACTTACCGTAGTCTTCTAAACCACGAAACGTCTACCTTATAAGGTAACTATCCCTCACACGAACTACCATAAAGCTTCTTCATTCACACACCTTGCATACACTTACCTCTCTATGTGGATTCTGTGGCAAACTGGTACAAGGTATAGGTCCAAATCTAAATCTACACACTCATGAGCTAAGTCTCATGTGTGGATTGTGGTGGTCAGTGAAACTACCGAATTCGGTGTCGCTATTAACACACTTGCTCCTCCACAACTTCCAACCGCGACGGCCACCCAGTCTCAATGTCCACTATGATAATAATTAGGTCCTGTCAACATACTACGATAAACCGATGCCTCAAGGCGTGTTGATGTAAGTCACGGACGGACAATTATTGTGTACACACTAGCATTCATTACGTTTCCCCCGTGTGATAATAGCCGCAGGGGGGACCGCCATACCTAGTCTTGTTACTTTCCCAGTCTAGTGGATAGTATTTCGAACATGGCTAATAGTAACTCTGTGACAGATGTGTTGTTAACAATTTAAAAATAATTGAGCCTTTGTAAAATGGTAGGCCCTATTCAAAATTTTAAAAAATATAATTAAGAAACATTTTTTATTCATGTAAAAATAGATCAGAAATTTCATCCTCAGAGTCTTCAAAGGTGTCTGCCCTTATCATATTGGAAACCATACTTTCAATATCATTAACATCCCCCAAATCTCCCTCTGGAACCATCTTCTTTATTAGTTTGTGTACATTCTGATGGAATCTACTTCCTGTCCTTGTTACAACTTCAATGTCCGTCTGAATTCCAGCTTCACAGACGATCAGTTGATCAGTTTGAACAGCAGTATGTACGTCATTTCTCAAACTTCTTATACGAACTTGACCTATCAGGAAAGATATTTTTTATTTTTATTTTAAAAGGCTGGAAGTGTAGTCTAAATAAAATTGATTGGTACAAATTTATAGACTCCATCTAATCAATTCCTAGCAACTTATAGCATGAGGCCAATAAGTTGGTGTTTTTCTGCTTTGTAAAATCATTTCCTAAATGCTTTACTTTAAATAAAACGTAATGTTCAATTTTTGTTAATCTGCTTTCACTAGTGATGTTAAAAACGTATTTTTTTATTTTTTTTTATTTTTTTTTTTTTGCAAAACCGGTTTTCAGTTTTAAATCTGGTTTTAAACCGGATTTTACTTTTCACAATCAGAGCTCGAGTCTTGCAGAGACGCATGAGAAAGGCGTTCCTGCACTTTTTTGTTTTGCTTAGAAATATATAGCCAACAAATTTATTGAAGGGGTGGAGGTTGGACGTCTTGGGTGAATTCCTACACTTTCCTCCCCAAGAATGACCTTATTCGCAAAGTATTCTACACGCCTCCACAAATCACATTTCAAATTGACCTGACATGTTATAGATCATACCATCCATGTGGGTAGGGAGAGGGGGGCGAAGAGGGATTTTTCCCAAGGAGTTTTTTTTTATTTTTCTCTTTATGTCTTCTCTTGACAATGTAGATTTCGTTATTTAAAAAGGTAGTGGGGGGGGGGGTGGGGGGGGGAAAAGAATAGGTGAATGCAATATGTCAATTTGTGAATATCTATAACACAATTAACTCTTGCAACAACAAGGTGACTACTTGTCCTACCAGTTTTATGCATTAAACAGCATGTTTATTTTTTTTTAAAGTTTTATTTTGATTAAATAATAATAATACATGTACTATTTGTTTTATAATTATTATTTTTATCCATATTGTAATCTTGAATTTAAAAATATTTTTTATATCATGATAAAACAAATTTGCAACCGGTCTGGACAAGGACAATCAAAAGGATGTTTTGGCTGAAAGAGTTCATAAACAAAAACAATAAATTGAATAAAACAACAGGTAATAAACACTTAGTTTAATTATTTACTTTCGGTCTGCTTTGTTTGCGTCCAATTTTATTCTTTGTTTTTCTACAATTACGTTACATAAATTCTTCAAACTGATCAAAAAATTAATTTTAAAAATATAGATGCGAATTTAAAAAAAATAATTTCAGATTTGAATCACATCATTTAAATCAAAAGTCCTTAAAATTAATTATTTTTCCATTTCCCAAATGCAAAGATTAGTTATAAAATGAAATGATTACCTCCTTCCTGTTCAATCGAAGAATGATTGGTCACTTGATCTTGATCGTTGTTCTGTATTGTGTCAGAAATTTTATTCACATTGAACAATGACCTGGAATTTCTGAGAAGTGGTGAGCTGCTAGTTATGTTACTGATTTTAACGGGTTTCTTAGAAAAACCAGATGATGTTCCTTCATATTCATCACGGCCATCATCACTGTTATCATGATCAACTGAGTTTGTTGCATTGGTTTTTTTAACAGGTCTCCTACAAGAATCGGGTGATGTGCCTTCAAAATGATCACTATCATAATTATTGTTATCACAATCAACTGAATTTGTTGGGTTGGGTTTTTTAACAGGTCGCCTACTAGACCCGGATGATGTGCCTTCAAATCCATCACTGTCCTCACCACTGTGATCATGGTCAACTGAGTTTGTGTTGCTGTTTTGAGATGAGGATGTCCATGTTTTTTTTTTGGACTGTGTTTTTTTTTTATTTGAAACTTTCAAATTTGGTGACTTTCTTTGTGTTTTTGCTTTTGGTGACTTTGACCTGGTTTGAGTTTTAGAGCCAGCAGCAGATGACCTGACTGCAATCTTATTCCTTTTTGGGATGGGTTCAGTGGCTGTGGAGCTATAGAAAGGGTCAAAATTATTTCATGCACCTTAGTAAATATGAAAAAAGAATTTTAAAATATAATTAATTGCATGAGGTCATGGGATCTTATTTTTCACACGCACAAAACCATAGTGAAATTTTGAATGCTCTAGGCAACATTTATTGTAGGCTGGCACTCATTCATAAAATTAATATTGATATTGTCAAAAAAAATTCCTTGCATTGTGAACTTAGCAGTTTAACATTTGCCGCAAAGAATATATATTTTTTTTAAAATTTTAACAGAAAACAATAATGTGTGCATATAATTTTAGTGATATTTTATGTAGAACTAATCGCTTTATACAAGACTTTTTGACCTAAAACAAGACACCGATTTGATTGTTATAACCTTAACAAAAAGCTAAACATCCATAAATGATCTCACTCATCTAGGGTGGAGTGGGTCGTGATTTTTGTGTCCAAATTGTGAGTCAAAGTTGTGGCTTTGGATAAAGCGGTTTCCAAAATAGCAAAATATCATTATTAGTATGCATCGCCCCCGACAGACCGTGAATGCCCAATGTTGATTTATTCCTCTAAGTTACCCAGCTAGAAAGAACAACGTGTGTCAATAATTAAGACGACTTCTTGTCTTCTCATGTCTGAGTCATCTTCATATTAATGGAATTAAGCTCCTTGGTTAACATTTATAATTCATAAATGAATTTATTTATTTCACTTATATCCTTCCATTAACCTTCCATTAACTAGATTCAAAACACATAACTTTATACTGTTGAACAGATAACGTACATTAAAACCAGTATTGTAGTGCTGTTATCCACACAAGGCAAACCCCACCCGCCCCCAAACTCTATAAGTAAGTAGATATTTAGAAATATTTATTTATTTATGAAATTTAGAAAGAAAGAGTGATGCGAATTTACAAAACGCATGCTGATCGACAGTGAATTTTTTTTTAAAATGTGCAAACTTACCTTTCTTCATCCTGTGTTTTCTGAAAATGAGAAAAGAAACTGATTCCATTTTCTACCAAATTTGGGTATTTAAAATGAAGTACTATGTATAGGATACATGTAAAATGATTATTAATTTTTCCAGCCATTGTTACATTTGTATTTAAAGGTCTGTTACAAGTTGAGTACTGGGATAGAAATTGGGTTTATAACACCTATTCAGACTTAAAATCAATCATAACATGAGGTGATGTAATATGAAAGTTTAGTCAAAATGTATTTTTCAAAGATTTCAGTCCCATGAAATTACCAGTTGTACTTTCAACTGATGATCTAAATTTCTCAATATAAAAATATGTAATCAATACTGAAGTGAAAGGTAAACACGTTGGTGAGAAAAACATTATTTTTCATATAATTTTCTTTTACATTCAAGTTAACATTGACTTGAGAAATTTTGTCCAAAAAAAAAAAAAAAAATGTAACTAAAAATGAGCTGAGAAAGTCAAATAATTTAAGTTGAAAAATAAGCATGTTTTTATTTTCATATAATTTTTTTTTACATTCAAGTTAACATTGAATTGAGAAATTTTGTCCAAAAAAAAAAAAAATGTAACTAAAAATGAGCTGAGAAAGTCAAATAATTTAAGTTGAAAAATAAGCATGTTTTTAATAAGTACTCTGCTCAAGAAAGTCACTTGTAATAATGAATATTTTGAACAATGAAATGATAAATTACTATTACTATGAAAACGAAGGATTTGGAAATCTGCAGCAGAGACATTTAGATACGTTGTCGTAGTTGCACAGATATTAATCCAGCTTTCATAATTTATGAACAAATGTGTGTTTCATGATTTCAATCCCTATAATTGAAAGTTGCTAATTCAGTTTGACCCTAGTTATTCTGTGGTGAAAATAAAATAATAGTAATAAGAAAACCCATCATTCCCTTGGGTGCGCAGATGTTAGCTTCAAATGCAAGAGGCAAAAATCTCTTGATGCATGGTAGTGTGATGCAATGGTTGGGAAATAGCTAGAAGCCTCTTCCTTTTAGTTAGAGTGATATCTTAAGTTCTTTTAACATTTATTATTTAAAGTGAATATAAAGTATTTATTATCGTGACTATTCATTAAGACTTAAGTAAATGTTGTTGTTTTGTATCTTACTTTCTGTGCTTCGATGACCAAAACCCTTGTGTTTTGTAGTTTGTCCTTTGCATGTGAAAATAACCAAGATAAAATTTAACGGTGAGTTCTTCGCAGGTAGCTTGCAAGTCCTATTTGTGCCTGGAAAGCTTTCCTGCATGTAGGGCATATGTTGGGTTTTTTTGGGGTCATAAGCAAAAATAAGACAAGTAATGTAGAGAGTTTAATTTCATGTGGCAGTGCCTTTGCTTGTGTTCGTGTCTTGAGTTTGTCACCCCTAACTTAAAAATAATTTTAATAACACATTACTTACTAAACACACTTGGAAAAAAGTACCCCCCCCCTACTCACTCCTACACAAAATAGATATACTACTGACTTGAGGGGGGGGGGGAGATGAATATGATATGTCTAGTGAAAAAGCTTTATCTTACCTCTGACAGAGGCTCTGTGTTACGTTTCTTATTGGTTCTCCTGAAATAACAACATATTATTGTGAAGGATGTTTGTAGGCCTACCAGGATGTTATGTCATGTGAATTATCTGGTACCAGAGTATACAACTTGTTTGTTACAATAATTCTATGCACTAAATAAGGTGCGCATAAATTATTCAGTGGTTGTCAACTGGGCTTTAAGTTCATTAAATTAAACTGTAACAGCCAAGTGTCAGGCTTAATAAGGGAGATAAAAAAAAAAAAGCAAAGTCTGATACAGAAGAGGTATTAGCTACTTTAAATTATTTATTTTACCAAGACACTTTATTATTTTAGCATTTAAAAAAAAAAATTAAAATACAACTCTGTATTCTTTTTTCCTTTAAAATAAAATAACGAATTCAGTATGTTTTATCTAGTTACTTACTTTCGTCTTGGAGTGTCAACAGGCGCATCTGATTCCTCATCCTCAAAACAACGGCTTAACACAAAAGAATAAAAAGAAACATGCAAACAACAAACAATTTTAATTAATTTAAATTGGCAGAATTTGAGTTCATGAAGAGATTATCATACATAGTATCCTGTCTGTACTTTTTAGCCTAAAATATTATCCTATTGTTTAATTTCAAAAGTATTTTTTTTAAATATTCACCATTAATTTCAGTTTTCTTATTATAAGGCCCAGCACTTATCTTATATAAAATAATTGCATGAATAGGTGTTCAAACAAATGACCTACTTATACTGTGCATCTTTATTCATACGACAGAACCATTGTTTTGGCAGAGAATCACCATCTGTTCCAGGAAGCAAGCGTCGCCACATTAAACAGTTGTCACACTGTGCCCAGGTCCAGTCAGGAAGTTTGCTGAGTTTAATCAAGAAAACTCAATTGAGTAATAATGGCCAAAATAAAGGTGGACAATAATTGCTAAAGAAAGAGTGAAGTTGTATTACCAGTATAGTGTAAAAATAAAATAATTTAAAACTAAATATTTCTTTATTTGACCCACTTCTGATTATTTTCTTTTTCCCTTCTAGTTACCAACGTTCATATTTTTAATGCTTCTGCCAAACCCACATCCTCAACACCAGACTGGCCATTACACACATCTTCCCTTATTTGTTATTTTAAATTAATTTTTTTTCTCTTTAACCAAACTTTTGAATCTGTCTTTGTCTAGTGGCAAAAACTTGAACAACTCCAAATCAAGTAAGATCCCATATTCTTAACCATATTCTCCAATTGAAAGCAAAAATATAGTTTTTTGTCTACTTTTTTAGTTGCTATATTTTTAAAAAATGAGTTGCAAGAAAAATATTTGAAAATACAGCTCCTGCAGAAGTGACAAATATTAAATGTAAAATTAGGCGTCAATGCATCATTTGGCTTAGCTTTTGTTGTAATAATATAGAATAAGTTCATGAAATAGAATTTCAATGTCTTACATGTAATAGTAAAGATAACATTAATGGAGAATATTGTACACAGAACAATTTTTTAATAAATGTTTATAAATACTTACCCTACATCAATATTTTGTGTTTCCTTTTGGCTATTCCAGTAAGCATTTAATTTTCCAGCTAGTCCTGCCATAATTGAACTGAGGACAAAGTGTCAAAGATGTTTATTCTGTCTTGTTGTGATGCCATTTAAACACTGGAAGTCAATTTGTTAGCATGCATGACATTGATAGTAGTTAATTATGGTATGATATGTTGATAACAATTATTATATTTAAATAGAGATAAAATAATAAATTTTAAAAAACTAATTAAAAACCCATGGAGCTCTGAAGCAGTACTTTGACACAGATAATTTGGCTTATACATTTTGAAAACTATGCATAAGATCTTAATAATACTTGAAGTGGTTATCTCTGTTAAAGTCCTGTTTGTTGTGTGTTGGTGTGATGAAGTCCAGCTCTACAACACCTATCACTCCTACACCTCTTTCATTGGCCTGGTGAGACAAAAAAAATATTTGTATAATGGATTGATTTTTAAAATATAAACAAGGTAAAATTGTTAATTTCAATTCAGAAATGTTTTGCTCTCAGTACTAGTTTCTACTCTTAGATTCAATAATTATGATAAACATACATTATTTACAATACTACCTGTCTCTGGTATCCCACCCTCTCATAGGCTCTCATCAACCTGTTCTTGTGATAAAGCATTAGGCCGTAGTTTTCTTTCCTTTCTTTTTCACATGAGAATCCAATTTTTATGTCAATAGGTTTGTCATTTCGTTTCTAAAAATATACAAACTGATATATTTAATTCCACTAACAAGAAGTTTAACTGAAGGTATTTTTCCATTACATAATTAATTGGTCATTCATTTTTTGAAATTTAAATCCTTCACTGTATTAATATGGGACATTCGCACTAATTTAAAAAAAAATCGAAGCCATAATTAATTCATAATACAATTTTATCTTAACTGAAAGTTTTAAAAATTTAAAAACATATTTTTTCCTAGTTTTTACTTGCTACATTTTGGTGTGGTTTCTTTATGTAGTTTTTATCATTTACTATAGATTAAAACTATTTCATCCCCCACAATACAATTAGATATGGAACTTACCATCCAAGATGGTTTATATTTACTGTCCTCTGTTTGACACAACCTTTTGGAAATATATTTTGACTTAACAGGATGTCCTCTTATGATTATTTTCATTCTTGGACGCAGATACAAAATACTGCAGTACACCTGAAAAATGATTGCATCACTTTATCATATAAGATGGCTATTGTGTTTACTTAAGATAAGAACTTTATAAGCTTAAACAGGAATTAATCAAATTATTTACAAAGACTTACTCTTAGTGAGATCTTATACTCAGGTGTGTCATTTATAGGTCGATTATCAAAATTAGTTGTATCTTCCATATAGGGATCTGGACATCTAATATCTTTACGGTCACTTTGGAAATCAAGTTCTCCTTTACCACTTTGTAATCTATAATTAGAAGAATTTATTTTTTAAAAAAGACCATTATAGAAATAAGAAGCCTTCAGATAATGAGAATAAAGAATATTATTTTAAGCTTTATTTTAAATTTTAATTTGAATGAGTCTTAATGAATCTCCTTTTCTGAACACATGAATGTCCAGGTACAACACATGAATGTCCTGGTAAACATCCATGGTCCATAGCAAAGAATAACCACATTTTTGAAAGACACATTTTCAGATTACTTTTTACTTATTAGAATATATTTTACAGTAAACAGGGATGCAAGATGGCCACTAGGGGGTCTGATTTATTCTTAAGAGTCTTAAGTGGGTTTCACATAATAAAGGTTACAGTGCAGTTTTGACCAGTTAGATTTGAAAAATTATTGTTTCTTAATAAAGATCATAAATATACTAGAATATTTGAAAATAGAAATTGCATATTTGAATTTTTTAAATCATTAATTGAATTCCATATTGTAACTATCTCAAATAATTATAAATTTTAAAACACATCATATCAGATCAGCTGCACCATAGGTCAAGAGACAAATCTATTATTATTTCAGAAAGTTTATGAGGCACATATGCATGAAAATTTTTTATTTCAATGTTATTACTGAAATGTGTTAAAGAAAACTGTCAAAATTACTTATTTTAAACTTAATTTAAAGATAAATTTGGAAACCAATTCTAAACTTTAAAGATACATTTTATGTGAGGAAGTTATTTAAATTTCCCTAATCTATAAAATACTAAATCTAAAATTTACCTATGGAGATTGAAGATAATGATTTTGGTTCCAGTCACTGAAGATTTCAATGCATTCAGTTCTGCTTTTAATGACGCCTCACTTTTAAACTCTGAGTACTGCAAAATAGCTTCAAGGTTGTTGTGACACTGACGATTGTTGTTGCGTTTTAGTATAATTGTGTTAAGGTGCTCATATTTCTTTCACAACATCGTATCACATTGGTAGATTTAAATTATTTATTAACTGCATCTCTTGTAGATATAAAACAACAAGTTCCATTGACACAGTATCACAAAAGATCACAAAGTTGTGAAAAAGTGAGGGTAAGATATAGTAGACTACTAGTTCACTAGAAGACTTGAAATCAGTGCAAAGAAGATAGAAGGAAGAAGCTATGCGTGTCAACCATTGAGCTTTATTAATTATAAATTGTTCTCTAGATGTAGCCTATCTAAAGTAAAAGATTTCCTCATCAACACCAGTAACAGAAACATTGCAAATCCCATCTACATGCATAGGAGCCAAAATGATCAATAAATTGATCGTGGGCCCTTAAGATATAGAAGAAATTAATTATTGATGACCAATCAATTTATGGGAGAGGAGGAAAAAAGTGGGTGTGGGGGGGGTGGCTTTCAAAATTATTGATTTTGTATACTAATATGTAGCCAAATAAATCCATTTGAGAAAAAAGTCTCTTTACTACAGTAAAAAAAAAAAATGCTTTGTTTTACTATATAAAGATGATATAAAAATATAATAGTTATCAATAAACCTTTAAAGCCTTTTACAATGTATCTCATTAAACACAATTAAAAATATCTGAAAGATTTCTCTTTCATAAGCAAATTAAAAATTACTGAATAATTCTCTTCTGTTGCCCTATTTTTTTGTTTCATCCAATTTATACCTCCTTTCTCTGTATGATAAAAATGTCTGGCATTCCCAGGAAAAAAAGTATAATTATATGATATAACATAAGAATATTAGGAAATATAATTAGGCCAGTCTTGGATTATAACAGTGCGTTCCAAACTAGGTGTTGCGACACAGCAGTGTGTCGCCAGCAGGGTTTAGGTCTGTCACATGAAAAGTATCCTTACCCTATCAACTATCATGCATTTAAGCGTAAAAATAATTAGAAACAGATTAAGAAAAATTATTGACAAAGTGGTGCATTTGGTAAATTATTTATATCAAAACCAGAGTTCAAGATTATTTTGCAAATATTTGTGAAAAAATGGACTCAAAATTTTTAAAGAAAACTTTAAAAGCTATCCAGTGAAAACTATACTGGTAAAACCGACCTACTGACTCACAAATTGATTTATGTTGAAAAAGTATGTAGCCAACATGAAAAGTTTGGAAAAAATTGGATTATAGACATCTAAAATTTAATATATTTCAAAATAAAAACCTTTTAACATTTATTGTACTTGATGAAATGAAGATATTGTTGTAACAAAAAATATAAAAAAACAAGAAAAAATAATAATAGTAACAACTTCTGTGTAGGGAACAAAATCTGACAAAGGATATAATCAGGCAGACTATACTCTAGTATGGGTACAATAATTGAGTCAGCTCCTATTGCCTCAAGGTAGGTTTGAGACAGGAATCCAACACAAGCACTTTTTTCACATCTTGAAAATACCAGTGCATCTTTTCCTAAGCGCATGGAGCCAGATTTGAAACCATTGCCATATAAGCCAACAGGTTTGTGTGATTCTCTTCTGTTATAGATGCCTTTATCACAGAATCCAAAGCTGAAAAATAAAGTAAACTTGATTAATTTACATGATTTGATATGTTCTAAGTATTAACAAACAAAATATAAAAGTAAAATTCAGTATCATTAAAAAAAAAATTAAATAGGTATCCCTGTATAGAAATAAATAGTGTATAAAAAGTTTTAGTACTCGAAAATCGGGCAAAGAAGATCGAAATGGAAAAGAAAAGGATTCATGCAGGTCAGGAATAAATGTGAAATCAATGATTGATGACCCAATGTTTGTTTTTTTGTTTTGGAAGAGAGGCAAATTAAAAACTGACTAAATCAAGTTTATTTTATTTTTTAAAATTAATATTTATCAAAGCCAGCTATTGACATGAGGAAAAATATTTGACACAAATTATTTTACTTAGTCTCACATCCTCCACAAAAGTAGCAAATCATTTTAAAATTTAAAAAAAAAAAAAAAATCGCAATATAGGCCTACATTCTTCTTTGCCACCCCATAAATTGCCTTCTCAATGACACAAATTATTTTACTTAGTCTCACATCCTCCACAAAAGTAGCAAATCATTTTAAAATTTAAAAAAAAAAAATCGCAATATAGGCCTACATTCTTCTTTGCCACCCCATAAATTGCCTTCTCACACCACATTTTAAACAGGCAATAAAAAAAATGGTGTAATTAATGTGAGCAAGTATCATTATTGATTGCATTAGTAGGTGAGTAGGCTGTAAGAAAGGGTTTTATAACATGCAAAATGTTTTGACTTCAGTCTTATGTACCCTCCACTTGATATGTCAATATTAGCTTAAATTTTGTGTGCTTATAACAAATTATTTCAGTTATTTGTACAGCTAACAGCAAACATCAGTTATGAAAAATCACTTCATTTAAGCAACTTAAACTTGGCGTCAGGTGTCGTAGATAAAGCTGTTTTAGTGAGCCAATGCTGAATAATTATTGATGTGTACATTTATTGAGAAGTTTTGCTTTATGTAGGCTTTCTAATGAAGGGGATGAAAGAGTGAACATTTTACATTGCTTAAGGCAAAAGAGAATCTGGAATTGAAAGGAATTTTCTTTTTATTGATAAGTTTCAGCACTTGTAATATTCAGACATTACATAATGATATCAATAAATGTTTTTCAAATGTTATTGATATCTAAAACAATCAATTGCAACAATATGATTTGAAAGTTATCAGCTGTGAGTATAGCGGTGAATATTGAAAGATGAAAATCATATTATCAGCCCGTGACACCCTGATTTGATTGGTATAAATAAAGCACAAAATATTTAAAATCTTGAATCAAAGAGGGAAGGCATGCACAGGGTTTCCTCAGTATTTATTGGACTCATTTTATTGTTTAGTTTTTGTTTCTGTTATTTATGTGGGTTTTTTTTAAAGTTGTCTCTTGTATCTTGATTCAAGTTAAAAATGTTCTTGTGTTTTATTAATTTATAACACATGATAAATAGTTTTTTTTTAAACCTTAGCATCTTTATTAATTTTTCTTTGTCCATGCCTGCTCCATTATCCAAAAAAATTAGACAAGGCATATTTCCTACTTCTTGCATATCTATTATCAGACTGGATGCTCCAACATCAGGATCATAGGCATTGTCTGTAGAAAAAAAAATGAAGCATTATCTGTAGTCAGGTGCACAACATGAGATTTTTAAAGTTGTGTGTAATACAAAAACATGACACACAAAAATAATGTATTGGGAAGTAAATTACAAATTTTCAAAAGACTTTTATATTTAAATTAGTTTCATATTTGAAACTTCAAAATTCATATTATAGCGCCCAATCCAATAAAACTAATCAACACGATATAATTTTAATTTTACTTGAAATTCAAATTTGTTTTCCCTAAAAAGAGAAAGGGATATTTGATACGATTGTTATTGTGATGTGTATTCTATAATCCAATTCCTGCCTCAAAAACATCTCTGTGATTTAGTAATGAAAAGACAGGCTATTTTTTTTTACCAATTAATTCTGCAAAAGCTCCAAAAGCCCATACATGACTGGTTGAATTTGTGTGTAAATATTTAGGATTAATCTGGAAATAGACAGAATATGAGAAAAAATATTAGTGTAATAATAAAAATATCACATATGCTGACTGAATTACATTTCTATTTCTCATTCAAAACTGTTCAACTTTAGACAGGCTACATCTAGAGAACAATTTATAATTAATAAAGCTCAATGGTTGACAAGATGTGGGGTTTCAATTGTCTAACTAACAGGGTCGGGGCTTGGTGTGGTAGCAAGATTGGGGGGGGGGGCGTTAGTAAGACCGGGGACGTCACGGATGACAGCACTGACAGCTTTGTCTGAAATTTTTGTCAAAAACTTTTTAAAACAGTTTTTACTTTACAGGCAAAATTTATAATAATAATCAAGTTTTTGAAAAACACGCTTCATCCCCAAAAGTTCGAAGCGCGGTACAAAGTCAACCATATTAAAAAGAGAAATAAAAACAACCTAAAATTTACCACATTTAAAAAACAGACGCAACAATATAAAGATACATACGAGCATACCCAGTCAAAATCTTTCATCCCATTTCAACCATAAGCAACACAAGGCGATGTACATTAACTGAAAAAAGACGGTAGATAGCATCACCCCAGAAGGTGTTTGCGAAATAGATGTGTTTTTAAATCGGTTTTAAAGGACTCCAGTGTCTGGCTGTTTATGACCAGATGACACATGTCAACATGGTGTGTGTGCAAGTCTTAAAGCAGGAATATGGCCAACCCGCATACTACAGCCCCAACACGTCAAACAATTCGACCCACCAGATGTTGGATGCACAGATACAGCTTGAAACAACGCCGTCCGGCAAAATAATATCAATAATAAGAATTTGAGCTAAGTTTTTATTGAGCTTCTTAACCTTCCGATTGTTATTGAAATTGATTGATGTAATTTGTATTTAGAAAAACAAAAGTTTTATAACATTTAAAACTATACTGCCTATTTTACACTGTTATTAAAAACAATCTTTGTAGCTTACATTGAAACCTATAAATAACACAACCGATGGAATTAAAGTAAAGGGGCTGTTATTTTTAGAGATTCGCAACTTCAGCCAGAATTGTGATGAAAAATAATTTGAAACAAAGAAGACATATTCACTTTGAAAATAAAAAGAAATTAGTGGGGAGGGGGGGGGCTAATGCACATATTTACAGGTAGTTAGGCTTTATAACCCACATAATAACAATTATGAGACTAAGCGAGATTGTTATTGTGCTAAGTATTCTTCATTCGGTTTATACACACATACGAGAACACTTGGCCTTCGGGTTTTGATAAATCTGTTATGAACGTCTAAACGATATATATTATGTAGACCTATATAAGCATGCCCATAAATCCATTGTCTCCATTTGATCGTCTTAACGTCTCTAAGCGTTTCAAAATTTTGCACACAGTACCCACCGTTCATTCGTATTTCTCATTCGCATGGCAAATCTGCCGACAATAGACTTGCAACACACGTTCATACGGATTTTCACACGCGCAGTAACAGAGTGAATGGCAAAGCAGAAGGTTTGTGTCAAACCCTATTCGTGATATAACGCGGTGACAGCGCGCCATGACTTGTGATATTCTCAAGGAAAAACACGATTTTGTCCCACAGAAACCTTTGACCCTTTCATTTTTGAAAGGATTTGCGCTCATTTAAAAAAGGGGTGGGGTTAAGATAGTGATCCATGCCGGAGATGACTTTCGCATTGCCTGAGACAGAGCTACCTCAAGGCCCGCTATTTAAAGTTTCACTGTATATTTTTAGAGACTTTCTTTCCACTCGCAAATCCATAAGGTTTGTCAGATTGCAGCATAATTGTGTGTCGTCACAAGTGACCCTCTCTTTCGGTCGATTTATTCTTCTTCACTTCATGCTGACCTATATGTTCGCGTCTGAGTTGATGACACGGAGTTACTGAGTTACAGCTCCTGAATTCTGGGTCGAGGGAGTCAGGTGGTTAGTTGGATTTCTCTCCCTTGATACACTTTAAGAATATAAGATTTAGAACTGTAAAAATTTCCCTCTAGTTCACTGCGCTGAATTTCTAAGCTCAGTAGCTCTAGTATACAGGTTCTCTAGGGTATTCAGATCACGACCACATTCATATAGAAGGAAAGTGCCCTTACCACGATATATTGGTTAAAAAAATATTTTAAAAAGCTCTGTTGAATAGGGTAATTTTTTGGAAAGGAAAAAAAAATAAAACTTAATTTTCCCCAAATTAGGCCTAGTTAGCGACATTTTTTATGTCATGAATGAAATTGCAACTCAAACATTAAATATGAAAACTATTTAAAAATCTCTACTTCTCAAAATATATAGTTTAAAGTTATCCTTTATTTTAATAATTCGTGTTCACTTTGTATAAGTTTCTGTTTCGATTTCCACACAACGAACTTATCAATTATTAACATTAATTAACATGCTCCTTTTTTCTTTCAAAGCTTTTACTAACTTTTAATGATTCATAGATTTTTGGCGGCCACGTAGAGACCACTAATTTGAAGTAATAAATAGCAAAATGCATGCCGGAACTCATCAAACATGAACTCTTCAAAAATTGTATATACACATGCTTAAATTTCAAATTTAAAAACCAATTTACATACCTTGCTCAGTTGGATACCCTCTGGTAATGATGCCATGTTTGAATCTTGTAGTTTCGGGATTTCCCGCTAGGTAAGGGAATTTCCTGTAACATTTAGTTTCAGTTAATTCAACGTTGGGGCGGGGGGTGGATTTAAATTTTGTTGGTTTTTCTTAAGACTGCATGAAGCTCGTTTGAGTTTTCGCCTGAAAGTGCGTAGTCCTACATTTATGCACACATTCTGCAATAACTTTATCCTGAAATTAAGCCAAATGTCACTCAGCTAAACTAAAATCTGTGAAATCCATTAGGCTATTTCTAATTATTTTCAAAAAGGTTTTGAAATATCGCAGAAACCTTTTACTAATTGTTGTCATACTCACAATATTGCTTAACCCACTAGTCATTGTTACTCATTGTAACTTTAATATCTAGCTTAGGGACTTACGGTTGCCCAGTGGTTCTCACAAATTTTCCAGGAACCGCCCCCTATGGGCGCTAAACTCACTAAGACCGCCCTCCTGTCATTTCCCATTATAAGAATTCCTAAACAAATTTTACGGCCCTCTATGAAAGATACATCAGCTGTCTTTTTAAAAAAAAAAAATTAAATGATTGTTTAACTAGAATTTTGGAGGTGTCACTTCTTTACTCGTCAATTAGTCTTAGGTGCTTAGGGTGGGCTAAATTAACAGACTCCTTTTTGTCAGAGTTCGTATTTATATGCGGTTTCTTTGAGCTAATATTGACGACAACATTAAAACCATATTGTGTGAAGAATGCAACGAGAAATTTATTAGCAACCTTCCAAAGTCCAGAATATGATAGAAAATATCGTACTATAAGCAAAAAGCGTTACTTCATTTGTTTAAATCTCATGCTAACATTCAATTTGTATTGATGTTGTTGTGCTGAATAAGCTCCTCCTCTACTTCACCAACTGCACCAATCATAAAATTGGTTTTATCATACACTGTGATATAATCTTCAAAAGAACATATTAAAATCGCTCAGAATATGTACTTAGCTTATAAAAATGGTCACAAAATGCTACCATCTCATGCTGCTATCCTGTGCATCTCAATTTTCCCTTCCAGCTCAGAAGAGCTTAGATATAAGTTTAAAGGGATCCGCCCCTTTAATACACTTCAATGGGGTTGATTTGTATATCAAATAAGGGAGACTTATTTAGTTTAATAAGGATTAACTTCATTTCTCCTGAAACTGCAAATTAACTTTAATTCAATCTCGATAACGTTTATGATACATACATGCAAGCAGTGTCATGTGTCGTGAATTTTTCTTTTGTGTGTGTGTGATCACCAAGAGAGGCATCCTTATCTTGCTAATGACAACTAATGATCAAACTTTTATCTGTTACAAAACCTCAAAAAAAAAAAAAAAAAAAAAAAAAAAAAAAAAAAACCTTTCCGGGGG